ATCTAACACTGGGATTAATATGCCACTGTTATGAACTTTGACATTGTAGATAATAGCTTTTTTCTATTGATTATAGTTGCTGTATACTCTATACTTCAACATTTGATCTTGAAAATGACACCATGAAGAAGATGAAACGTCAATCATTTCTTTTTAGCATTATTTTTATATTCAATATTTATACAAAACATACTCTTATCATTAAATCTAACCTTCATATAATAATTTTCCTATAGTGTACTATGCGGAGCTCTACTAATTGCTTATTAGCATCATAAACCAGCAGAATACTTGACTTGCATTACATATTTGAACCTTAATATTAACTTTAAGCTCAGATTAATCAGTTCATCCTAAATCATAGTTCCATTTTTACATCGATATATTTTACTGTTGTTTAACTTTACCTTAAAATTTTGAATTTATATGTATATTGTTGTTTTGTAAATTTTGGGCAATGCATCGACCCAGGTCTATTTTTTTGTTGTAATGTATCATTCCTAATTTAGCTGCAAAGCTACAATGATGATATTTTGAAATAAAACAAACTTGATATGTTTTAAACTTAAAAGTTTTAAGTTTCTTAAAAGTGCCCAACAACATTACATGTGATCTTTAAGATTACTCACAGAATTAGAACGATAACCTAAAACAAACTTGGAGAAAATTTTTATGACAAACTTTGTCAAATGTATTTGTGCATGTTAGATTACATTATCATATGTAATCTAAACCAAATCCTTCTGGTCATATTCAGTATAAAGGCTGGTACAACTAGAATGTGAAGGACGGAAGCCAGACTGATTCATATATCGATGATATTTTGAATTTAAATATTCATAAAGTTCATGAAAAACTACCCTTCTCATAATGTTAACAATTAGATTACCATTATCATACGTAATCAAAACCAATCCTTCTTGAATATGTGAAAGACAGAAGCTAGACTAATTCTGATTCATATTTAAATCCAATTTGAACTTGAGATACTCATCAAGATCCTTTCCATAATCTAAGACTGAACAGGGACAATAGAAACTGTGCTAAAATTGTAAAAAAAAAAATTTAAATACTCATAAGCCCCTTTCAGAAAGACACAACACCAGAAAATTACCATCCTATAACCTTTCATACAGCACCTTTGTTAACGCAATACAGTCAAACTCGCCTATAGTGGAATGTGCCTAAAAAGTCAAAATTATTTTCATGTCACTTCATCTTCCGTACATTTACAATGGTTAATATTTGCTCCAACTCGAATAAATTTAAGTCAAATAAATAAAGAAGTCGAACATATTTTACATGCCAAATTGATCTGTTTTCCATTAATTGTTAGTCCGTAAGTCAAAGTCAAAATCTTTACGTAAAACTTCAATCATTTTAAGCTGTCACCGCTTTACCAACATAGCTGTGAACGTCAACAAGTGACTCATACATTTGGCAAAGCAGAAATTCACACGCTAAGTAAGCTCGACAAGTGACTCATGTTTATATTGCATAGCAGTACTTTGTGTAGTTCATTTTACATGCGACTCAACTCGCATTCCTCACTATTGTTCAGAAATATGGTAACGTCGACAATGTTACCCCATGTCTGTTTGAGCACTGTTTCAGGTTTTGTTAGTTCTTTTTTAAATAAATTAAATTGTTTTGTAAGATACGTACAGTAATTATGAAAAAAATGTCTTATGGAATTTAGGTATAAGGAATAACTCTTCATATAAAACAAATGTGCTACTGTAGTTTTATCTTCATCCCGATCTTTGTTGCATACAAACTATCTACAGAGCATCGCTTGAGAAGTGGGTGATTTTTGAACGGTCCATTTTGCGGCGGGGTATACACATCTGGTTTACTTACGATTAATAGACGTTTTGAAATATATACTGTATATATTAAAGACTTTCACCTAGTAAGTATTGGTTTGGTCTTTGGGATTTATCAACCGCATTTATCATATTTAAAACATGTTCACTTGATGGCCATGCAAAAGTAAGTTATAATTGTTACGGTAGTTTATCAAATAAAAATATGATTAAGCTTTAATTTAAGTATTGACTGATTCCTCTTTATAATGTATTCAAAAGAATGGTATAGCAGCAGTTAACAAAACATTTAAATATACTGTAATAATTGAAGAATTAATGTAACATATTGCTACTCTGAAGAATACTGTTTTCAAGGTAGTTTAGGTAGCCTAGGCCTTCACTTCTACAGTTCTAGGCCAAATGTGTGGTCAACATTGTGTGCAGGGGTTTCCCTTAAGGTTTTTTTTAACTGGCCAAGTGGACCAGTAAATCAATATTTTTACTGGTCCTCAATCCCTTTCACTAGCCACTATCTTGCCAACTTCGAAAGGCCCAAATACCATATTTGTGACATGCTAATCATGCTGGCCATCACCGATGAAGTAACACTGACAGATACAAAAAAAAAAATCATTCTGTTGTCTCTCTATGAAATTATGCCGCGAAATATAAATACAGGAATATGTTTGTATGTACAGTGCACACAATACGATGTTCGGTTTTCCGGAAAGATCGGTTTGTGGAACATTTCTATTGAATCCTTTCCGAATATTAAGGTAGGCCAGTTAGGGCCTAGCCTAGACGCTAATATATATAGGCTTAGCATAGCCCAGTCAGTAAATTCGGTATGACTAGCCTACGAAAATTTAACATATTATTTAACATATAATACGTACAGTACCTGTTGTTTAGCTGATAGTGCACAGCAAATTAAATTACTTTACCAATAAAATGAATGCTTTTATATTGTTTTTACGTGCATTTTCGGTCTGACATTTTTTTCTAAACTGTAAACACAACACATTCTTCGCGGTCATGATGCGAAATGCGTTGAAAATATCAGGTCGCGCCTCCTAAACTCTGCCCGCTAAGCGTTTAGTGCAAGTACAAGCAAAGGTACATGATTAGAATCAAATAATTATAGAATTTAAGCAATTTAAGCATATAGAATTTAAGCAAACAAAAACAACATATCCAAAACAAGTCTACGTTATATTAGGCCTATATTGGAAAAAACTTTTTAAAAATTCGGCCACATATATTTTGGCCGTGACTTTTCAAACGTTACAGCCAGGCAAATTTTTATACGGCCAGATTTGAGGAATCTAGCCGTCGAAAAGGCCAAATGGCAACCCTGGCCACGATGCCTCCAAAAACTCTGCCTGCTAATTGGTTAATTTTTTCGTGGGGTCATGTGACTGGGCAAAAATCCCATGTGCTTGGCTGTCATGACGTCAGATCGCCCAAAGTTTCATAGTGCGTGACAGCTTGCTGAATTTTTAATTAAACAAATTTATTAAATAAATAAGAAACCCTCGTGGTTTTGTTTTAGAGTCAAATCTAAAATAAATCTAACAAATTTAAATTTCATTCTCTGCAAATTTCCTCTGTAATTAGCAATGTTTTTGGGGATTGTGAGTGTAATTTACATGTAGACTGACATATGAATCTAATGACATACCAAATCCGAATTAAACGTCTACTGGAAAAGAGCCGTCGTAGAAACAATTGCTTTGAGTTCCTTTTTCATCAGGTTTATTACAATCGATTTTTAAGTATTCATAAGGCGATAATGCACTTTATTAAAACAACGGAAGGCGTAACTATCACTTTATCTAACATTTTACTGAGTGTGTCATTTTAATTAATAGATAATCTCCATGACAACGCTATTGGGACTATGCTCTGCACGAATGGTTCATTCACAGTATTTCGTCCGGAAATCGTTGCATTGTTTAACTTGTTGTCCCACGTTGCATGGTGGGATGGATATATGACATGGATGTTTTAACTTCACGGTGCTCACACAGACGAAAATCAACTTCTCCTTGTTGCTGTAACATGCGGAGAAGGTGATTTCCCTCTGTACGTCTAGCCATCTAGCCATGGATTCCTCCATGGCCTAGCTCGCTGTTCGCCTTAGAATGACTGAGCCCAAAGGCTGTTCGTATAGTAGCTGACATTAACATGACAATAAACAGAAAATAGCGATAAGAGGTGAATGAGTAAAACTTTAGGTATTTCGTCAGGCTTTCATTGAAATTTTAACTGGTCATGCGGACTTGTTATTGGGGTAATTAACAGGTCCGCCATACATTTTACTAGCCATTGGCCGGCGGACCAGCGTTATTTCGAACCCTGGTGTGTGTACCGTTAGTGCGTGTTAATTTGTTTCAGTCTCCGTAAGGCCTAACACTCCAAGTCAAGTTGCTATTGTGATATAACTTGAATAAAATTTGACTTTGCTTTAGTCGAATTTAATTTAAGTCGAACTATATTTCAGTGGCACTTTAGATTTGACTTAGGCGAGTTTGACTGCATTATCATCAATCTGACACAATTTTCTGTCTGAAAGGATCTGATAGATTTTATAATATTGGAGGTTTAAAACAAAGAGCACGTTTTTCTTTACATTTCACTTAATACGGTGCCAAATCAGACTATGCCAATTTTGTTGTGTAATGCTGGGCACTCACTGCATTGCAAGCAATCCAACTCTGCTCCCTGTGAACGCTAAACAATGTGACACTGTCTGCTGATTGTCGGTGGCTGTCTAAGCATTGCTTTTTCTATGGAATCACATCGGCCAACGACCATCGGCCGCAGTGAGTGCCTGTCTTAACTGTTACTTGTTCCTGTTTATGAACAAACAGAATATTTCCTGTTTCGTTTGGAAGAAGTTTAGCATTTCTGCTCTCATTAGATTTCAACTTAAACAAATTATCAACTTTACCATTACTGCTTGGTTATGTTAGCTTCAATGCACAGGCCAGCTTACTCATTCAGACGTTCAAGGCTGTAAACTAGGGTGCTTGGTGGTCTAAAGTAAACTGGTAAACTGGCATACTGGCATATTGACCTTTTCAAACAGAAACCCATGCCGGAGTGCTTACCGCAATGGTCAAAAGAGATTCATTGATTGAAATAAATTAATTCTCACCTTTCTACAGAACCACTGAATTGGCTACTCACCTACTGATAGAGGTAGTCTGATGGAGACAATAAGTTGTAGGAGAAGGTTGATAGGATTTCTGAGCAGAGATGGTGGAGTTCCTGATCCATCTGGTGTTCCTTTCAATAGTTGAGCCCACAACTGTTGAACTTCGTCCCATAGTGTGCTTTGGTGATATACTCGGATGCAATGCACCAGCATACCTAAAAAAACATTAATAACGATTTGTTTTACTTTAATAATTGCTAATTGCTTTATGGGTTATTGCATGCCAACTAAACAAATGCATTACACCATGGTTCATAGACTTTTATCATTTTTTTGCACACTGAGAGATATTCATGTGAAATGAAAAACCCGAAATTTTGAGACTTTGATTCTTGTTTGTATTCCCGTAGCAGCAGTTTGAAGTTAAGGGGGCATGGCCCAAAATAGTGCGCTGTGGAATTAACTTTGATTTTCATATGCTAATATCTTTGGAAGTACAACCCCTATAATTTTGTGGTGTAGGACAACTTCTACTGCTGATTCCAAATCTGCAATCAATTACTATACACCGTTTACAAGAACTTCCAAAGAGACAACTACTCTTCTCCATTCCATGCACAACCTCTCGTTCACACTCGATCTTCATTGCTGGTCCTACATTCTGTAATGGAACCGTCTCCTAAGAACCCCACAAAATTAAACACATTCAAAACCAATCTTAAGAGTTATTGCAGCACGTACGGAAGCTGGAAATTACTATTTTTTTACATATTTTGGATTGCTGACACTGTATTTTTCCATTCTTTTTCAGTCATCTTTTAGGACCAATAGCAATGATGTACATGCGCATCAAAAAAACGAATCCTTACGTGCGTTTGTGTCGACATACAGTGAAAATATGCCCAAATCATGCCAATATTTAATCAGTCATAGCTCCTTTGGATGAACAGTGACCCCCAATTTTTATTACATATTCTGAAAGCACATGCAATGTTGATATGATTTTAAAGATCATTATGGCTGATCGGACATTGTGACATCATTATATTGCCATCTGAATTCCAAAAACTGAATTTTTATCTATGACGTCATTTTTATACGCATTTAAGCGTATCTTGCTTTTCCTTGATCGATCATCTCTTTCCTTTCAGTATGTTATTAATGAGACAATTTTCTTTCTTAATGTGTTCTTTATTTTCATTTTGATGACGTCATCATGGTCAAAATGAATGTATTTTTTTACCCCAACACCCTCTTCCTTTAAATCTTTGACAGATTTTATGATTGATCATAGCGGCGCTACACGGTGGCGACGTCCTTTGGCACACTTCCGTTTATTTTTTTGTTTTTCGCTTCTGTGAACTTGTTTCTTAGTCATAATACGTACTTTGGATGGTGTTCTGTTTTGTTCCGGTCATTTTACGTATATTTTCATGTTTCATGTTAAAGGTGATTTAAAGCAAGCCATAAAGCTAGCCCACTGAATATCAATGACGTATTGTCGAGCCGCAATATTGGACTTACTGTACAGAAGGTGAGAATGCTAATTGGGAAGCCCGTCGACTACGATCAATATCCGGATGACATAAAAAACCGAAAAAACGAAAAGGATGTAAGAATGGAGGTGTTAAAAAACGGATCAGAAGGAAGGGAAATAAGGTACCACTACCAACTGTTGTATTAGGCAACGTGAGATCGATTCAGAACAAGATTGATGAACGATTTTATCATTTTTCCATGATTATGACGTCATCTGATTTGATTTTTAAAAATATTTTGTTATCGTATACACGATAAATCGTTATCAAATCGTCCTAGTGTAAAAACTTCTCTTATTTCTTTTGTTTTCAATATGAACAATCGCTTTTTAGCTTTTATATCGTTATCGTTAAGTATAAACAGGCCTTTATACTGCATCTCCGGATGCAGTTAATCTTGTGATGGGCGACTTTAACCATTGCTCAATTAAAGATATCGTGCCAACATACACCCAATATGTAGACAAGCCTTCAAGGAAGGATGCCCTGTTGGATCTTTGCTACGGTAACTTTAGAACAGGCTACAAAACCAAAATTCTTCCGCAACTCGGTAATTCAGATCACAGCATTGTTTACATGTTTCCTAGCTACAAGCAACAATTGAAGGGTAGCAGGCCAGTGATTACGTCATACTGCAAATGGTTGTTTTGAATCCACCAACTAGGACGTTTTGGAACATACAAATCTTGAGGACACAGTAACAGCAATTACAGGATACATTAACTTTTATGTTGACTCAATAATCCCCACAAAGTTTTACCTGAACAACGAAAAGAGGCCAGCCTTGTTGTAAGTGACCATTTGTTGGTCAAATGTAAACAAAAGGAGATTGATAACACATACGCCAATGTAAAGGCGGAGTACAAAAAAGAAGTTGAAAATAATTTCAAAGGAAAAAAGATAAAGGATACATAGAAGGCAATGCAAGACCTTACAAGCTACAAAATCAACAGGTTGAGGTGTGGTTTTGGCAAAGGTGAAGATCTGTTTCTAAAGGTGAAGGGGACATTTTTTTTGTCCACACCCACCTTATTTTAGGCCCATGGTTGCGCCTGAGGTTCGAAAATTCTAGGAAATAGTTAGCTGTAGATGATCGGAAATGACACTCTATATAGTAAAATTCATCGTCATCACATCCCTTTATATAGTCAAATGGCGTTATACCAGCGATTTGCAGCAACCAAATCTATAGAAATTATTATGATGTACTTAGAAAATAAAACTTGAGAACATTGTCTTTGATGTATTTACTTTTGGCCTACCTACTTCACAGCCTAGTCCACACCTAAGGGCTGAGGTGGGAACATTTGGGGAAATACCTCCAGGTTGCTGGAAAAGACAGTCTTCTAGGGTAAAATTCATCATCATCTAATTAATTGCTGTGGCGTTCCATTGAAAATTAAACTCAATTGTTTTTGATGTATTTTTAATTTACTTTCACTTTGCCAAAAATTAATCTTATTATTATTACTATTACTATTATTATTATTATTATTATTACTATTTAATAAAATAATAATAATTTAATCACAAATATTATTATAATAGGCCCTATATTTGCTGTGAAGCAGCCAATTCATATTCTTGACAGCAATTTGACCTCTGAAAGGTCATTGTTTGTCAAAAAACGACTGCATATAAAGACGACTGAAAAGCGGAGTTTCCTTCTTTCGTTCTGCCGGGTAAAATCAATTACTTTAGGCGACGTTTGTAGACTAACCTACTCGTACCAACGTCCACATGTCGCGCTAGCCTTATCCTACTCTAGGCCTAGACTAGGTAGGATGGTATAGGCCTAGCCTTGAAGGGACGAAGGTCCCAATGAAAAACAACGTCGCTTTTTGATAGCTAAAATTGTCTATTTAACATCACAATAATTCATTATTAAACCTATAGTTTAATCAACAAATCTCAGCCGATACCTCGCACAACTGGCTAACGTCTCTATCTATTGTCGTGACGTCATGGCTCGCTGGCTCACACTTGTGATATGTCTCGCACTTGTGATCAAATAACACGCTGGCTCGCACTTTGGCAACACTCTTTGGCAGTCAACTCGCCCCTAGAAAACCCGCCCTTGGAAACTTGCCCATAAAAAAATGTACACTTCCTAGACCATGCAGTCTTCAAAATAAAAATTGTAACCTTTGGTTATCAACTACATCTTCCACATACATAGAAATATTTGAAACTTTATTTTAAAAAACCTAAACCATAATTCACTACATTATAGACACTTTTTGACAAAAATGAAAAATTACCACTTTGCTACCCAATGAGAAGTGTTTTAATATAGACAATGGGTCGTGTCTCATATTATTTGTTATAGTTTTATTATTCATTATTTTCACTTGACATAAATAATTTTGTTCGAAGAACATTTATATGCAGTTGTACTTTGCAGCACTTCACTTGCAATTTGCAATTTCTAGTATTATTATTATAGATAATTATGATGATTATTATTATTATTATTACTAGTAATTCAGATGTTTGTGGGCAGTGATAGAATAGCGGCTGTACAAGTCATTAATGCAGTTAATTTCAACAATTTTCAGGCATCCTCTTGAATTATGAAATTATTACATTATTAAATATATTTGGGTACGTATTCCCTATCCCCTGCAACTACGTTCGAGCAATTTGAAATTTCGACGCACGCGTTATCAAGCCAAACCCAAAGTTAATCTCACTTAATACGATTTCAAAATGGCAATTGGTTATATAATCGATAATGTAAAAACGCAAAATTGCATGTAGCTGACATCACGCGTGACTGGTCATCTTGAAAACATTACCGTGACTATTCCAGGCGAAGCCAAAATGATCGATGAAGCGACCGTGTGCTTACCCGGAACTCATCTTAACAGGTATAGGTATTCATTTGTACCAGATGTGATCAAACGGTTTCATAAACGTACAATACACTGTTAATGTGTAATAATTGTGTCTTTTACACATTAGTTTTTACTGTAAATCTAAAATGGAATTTTTAACCAAATTTTAAATCTAAACAATTTCAACTTTTATACTTTAACAACCTATTTATTTCTATATATAAAAACTGCTAGCTTAACATTGTTTATCCTTTTCCTTTATCCTCTACTTCAATTTTTACCTTGTAATATATATTGTGCGAAGCCATGTCTGTGTATCTGTAAATTTTTGAACCATTGTTTTAACTGCCGTTACTATTTTATATTTGTTGTAAAGTTTGTCTTGATTTTAACTGACCAATAAAAATGATCTATCTATCTATAAATCCCTCACCAACAGGTATTTTTAAAAATGAGATTAGACACAATGATCTATCTATCTATAAATCCCTCACCAACAGGTATTTTTTAAAATGAGATTAGACACAATGATCTATCTATCTATAAATCCCTCACCAACAGGTATTTTTTTAAATGAGATTAGACACAAATATACTTCATATCAAGAGTCAATTTTATGTGCCATTACCGTCCTCAAGCGCAACATGCCCGTACGTGTGCTTTAAAATTTTAAATACAGTGAAAATATGCAAAAATCATACCTACTTTTAATCAGTTATAGCTCCTTTGGATGCAAGGTGACCCCTAACTTTTATTACATATTCAGAAAGCACATGAGTTGTAGATATGATTTTATATATCATTTTGACTGAGCGGATGTTGTGAAATATGCATCATATT